AAACAAAACTTGTTTCTCGCGAGACTAGCATATTCTCACCGGAGCTTATGCTACGCCTATGTCCTACGTCACTGAAATTTTGCCAAAATTCCGCTAATGTGATCTTAAGTCGCTGTATGTTTAGAAGTGCATTTTAAATGCACGAAAGAAGAGGGGTTTATGCAGATGGGTCATTTCGTGTCAACTCAATCAGAGGTCCCCGGCTCAAATTTTTGATTTTGCTAATATTTTTTTCTGAAGAAAGATAAATATGTATAGTGATGAAAGTAAATGTCATGGATGAATGTTTACTGAGCAATCCACTATTTTGTAGAGGGGGTCAAAATGGCAATTTTCACCTGAGATTCAGAGCCAAATTACAGAGGGTTAAAAATGACTTCAGAAAGATGGCAGCATCACAATTTTATTTCTGTCATGACAGACGCGATGCATTTGTGTAAGAAAAATATCCATATTTACAACTTTATAAATCTTAATCTCTAGCTTCCGCTAACTGTCGTACGTGCATTCACGAGAGAGTGGCGTCCAGCGGATGACGTAGGACGTAGGCAAACGCGGCGACAAACGCGGATGTGACGAAGCGCAGAGTAGAGAGCAAAACAAAACACCAATCAACAATTAGTAGTACAAAACGAGGATTTGTAAAGAAAAATGTCGGAGGATTTCGATATAAGCCAAGAGGACACTGGTTTTCCTTTACTGTAAACAAAACTTGTTTCTCGCGAGACTAGCATATTCTCACCGGAGCCGATAAAATTCAAACAATACACAACCCTAACCAGAGGTCCCCGGCTCAAATTTTTGATTTTGCTAATATTTTTTTCTGAAGAAAGATAAATATGTATAGTGATGAAAGTAAATGTCATGGATGAATGTTTACTGAGCAATCCACTATTTTGTAGAGGGGGTCAAAATGGCAATTTTCACCTGAGATTCAGAGCCAAATTACAGGGGTGTAAAAATGACTTCTGAAAGATGGCAGCATCATAACGCTATTTTATGACATCATTACGTTAGGGCGTTAAAGAACGGATGAACCGTTTTTTTGAACCGGTTCATTGACACGAACTGTCCAAAAGAACCGGTTCGCGGAAAAGAACCGGACTTCCACTACTCATTGGCTACTGATACAGGAGAGAACCAATCAGCTGTGCCATGTGATAATGATGTCATTAGATCAGATTGAGTTAGACCTATCGGACTGCACCATCTAGAGTTTCATGCCAAAACTCTGTATTTTTGCGCAGATATTAGTAGGCCTGTTAGTAAAATATGTTGACTTTAGTAATCTTTGTTGCATTATGTGCCAATGGTGATCATTCAAAAATGGGGAAAGAAATGACATGTATCTCGTTTCCTTCTGTCGAACATACCTGTCTGAGTGACATAATAATTATTCTTTTTCCAAAGTTTGTCAGTTTGGCAAAGTTTGGCACTCAGACAGGTATGTTCAATGCAGTTGTTTGGACAGAAGGAAACAAGATACATTTCTAGTTTCAAGATTATTTGTTCTTCAGACATTCCTATTTAAATGAAAAGAAGTAGCATATTTTAGCAAAATGACCCACATTTGGTTTTTGACCACTGAATGTGTGTACAATTTAACAATTTACTCCTGGAGCCATACTGAGATCCCAATATCTCTGGAAACTAAACATATAGGGCTTAAAAATGAAGATGCCAAAAGGGAAGTTTGTTAGGACCCAGTATCTAAAAGTGCATTAAGATATCTTTAATACTTTTTGAGTTACAAGCATGCAAACTTTGAAGAAAAAAATTAAAAAGTGCACTTTCCCCATTTTTTGAATGATCACCATTGGCACATAATGCGACAAAGATTGCTAAAGTCAACATATTTTACTAACAGACCTTCTAATCTCTGTGTAAAAATCAAATCGTGATGCTGCCATCTTTCTAAAGTCATTTTTTAACTCCTATGTAATTTGGCTCTGAATCTGTGAAAACTGAAAATTTGACCCCCCTTCTACAAAATAGTGGATTACTCAGTCAATATTCATCCATGACATTTAATGTTTTGGCTATACATGTACTATACATGTTTATCTTTCTTCAGAAACAAAAATATTATCAAAATCCAAAATTCGAGCCAGGGAAATTTCTGAAATTTGGTTGATTTGACATGGAATGACCCAGATGCAATTATTGGAGAAATCTGCCATGTCACCAGAGAAAAGTTGTTTTACTGGAAGATTATGACATTTTAATAAAAAAATTACAAGGGCAACAAAATAGTAAACATACGCACAGATGAATCATCCACAATAAGGTCAATAACATTTTATTTTAATGAACAAGCATAACAGAAACATTTCATATTTAAATTCAAAACCTTGAAATGTTGTACAGGCTACAGAAAAAGCAAAATAAGTCCCAGCTAGGAAAACAAAAGAAATCATGCAAAAGAAGAAGATCTTGAGCTGCTACGTAACCCTTGTAGGCCTTTGTGGATCTTCTTATGAACACTGTTGCTGCTAAGCACATAGAAAACAGGGTTTATGGCACTGTTGATGGTAGACAGACCCAGAGAGATCGTATAGGGTGTGTAGACACTTCTTTCAAAGTCACATGTCCCATTCGAGAAGTGGAAATTGATGGCACGTAGCAAAAGGATCACATGGTACGGCGTGAAGCAGACTAAAAAGAACAAGATGACGGCTAAGGCCAGGTTACGAATTCTGACTTTGGCCCGTGGCTTCAAACCCGTGCTAGCTTGAACTTTAGCAATGATGGCCAAGTTGGTGACTATTAAAATGCACAGCGGGATGAAGAAACCGATGAAGAAGCGGGCATAGTTGAGTCCCGTCACTACGACAGAGGGGTCGCTTGGCTCGAAGCACCGCTTCTCCTTCGTTTTCTCAGAGTTGCCCTCTGTCATGGTGAAAACCGGCACGTGTCCCACAGCAACGACCACCACAATCACAACGCTGATGATCACAGCATGCCTCATCTTTCTCAGACCTCGAGACTCCATGGCGTAGACCACCGCGACGAAGCGGTCCGCGGAAACACAGCACATCAAGAAGATACTGATGTACATGTTGTTGAAGAACACGTAGCCGGTGACCTTACAGGCCAGAGAGCCCCACTTCCAGTGATGACCTCTGTTGATGTAAATGGCCCAGAGTGGAAGTGTACCTAGATACATCAGATCACACACTGACAGGCTGAAGAGGTAGACTCCTAGGACGTTCTTCCGGCACACTTCGAGGAACGTGAGGAAGACTGTGATCACGTTAGCAGGCACGCCTAATGTGAGGACTGTGCTGTAGAGAACCACAAGTGGAAGTGGGTTTTCTTCCTCGTAAGGTGGTTCACAGCTGTTTGTGTGGTTTGTTGGACCGGTTATGTTCATGGTCACTGGAAAGCTGAGAGAGGGATCCAAAATGATGGGGGACAAAAACATAATTTCATTTAAAAAGCATGGAGTTGATATGAAAAAAGAAAGGACCATGAAAAACAAAGCTAATGTCAACAGTAATGCTACAGAAAAAATCCTCACGTGCTACTTTAAATACATTTATACAAGTATTGTGGTCTCATTTCCTCTCAGATTGCTTCCCACAGCTAAAGTCGGGCTCACACTGTGCGATTTTTTAAAAGTCCTTTAGGATTGTACTTGTCAATCATGTCACACTGTGGGATCTCAGTTTTCATTAATGTCAGACTGTACGACAGTCAAGACGTGCGCAAGAAAACTTGTCCCGAGTTTTACCTTAACAACCCATACACGTTCAGTGACTGCGAGCTGCATTGCACGCGGGGCTGTAATGTTGGCTATCATTAAAAGTATATGAATGGCGGCAATACCGGCGTATTTATGCAGAATAGTGCAAGCAGCACTACACACCCACATGAAAACAGCAGCGCAACCGGTGTTTATCATAGCAAAGACAACGATTCATATGAAATCCATGAGCGGAGGATGAGAGCGCCGGAGTTTATGCGGTTAGAAGAAATATGTAGCATTAATTCTGATCATGGCTTGTCTTGAAAAACGAAGACAGTTTGACGTTCGTCGTAGGAGATGTCACACTGCAGGACTGTGTGCCAAATCTTCTGACACTGCCAGAAGTTCGTCGGGGGTAAAATTTGATCGCAACGGTCATTAATCGGCTGTCGGTGAACATGTCAAACCAGCGATCAAAGACTACAGATTTTAGCCTAGGATTATAGGAATCTTTTAGGATTTTCAAAATTTGTCTCAGACGACCAAATCGTGGCCAAAATCGCACAGTGTGAGCCGGGCTTAAGTCAAATATTATAAAACACGTTGTGGGTGATTTCTAATATGCAAGAAGTTTTCTTATTATCACATAGCCTAGACTTGCAATGTTGGATAAATGAACTAAATTAACAATTTTAGATGGGAATTTAAGATTACAATTAAGTGAACATTGGGATTTATTTTATATTTAATTTTAAAGGGGTCATATGATGTTGCTAAAAAGAACATTATTTTGTGTATTTGGTGTAATGAAATGCGGTTTAAGGTTCAAAAAACACATTATTTTCCACATACTGTACATTATTGTTTCTCCTCTATGCCCCGCCTTTCTGAAACGCGTCGATTTTTACAAAGCTCATCAGTCTGAAAAGCGAGGTGTGCTCTGATTGGCCAGCTATCCAGTGCTTAGCATAGATCATTGAATCTGATTAGACCGTTAGCATCTCGCTCAAAAATGACCAAAGAGTTTCTATAATGATATTACGCAGTGCCTGAAATAGTCCACAGCACACTCCCTGTGCAAGCAGGTGGTCACGTTGGTTATGTTGACGGAAGTTAGCCATCATATGACCCCTTTAAATGTAATTTTTGAGCTCACTAAGCTAGTCATGTGACCTAAATATGACGACCACCATATGAGGCGAACTCACACCGAATAAAACCGCTTTAATTAAGCTGCTGATGTGACTGGAAACTGGCGTGAGTGTATTTGCATGTTTTTGTCAAAATGTAAACTTTACATTTAGAAAATCATAAACAAACATATACACTTGCATACATTTTGTGTACAATATCTGTAATATTTTACAGTATTTGTTAACATTAGTTAAAAGAACTAACAATAAAATACTTCTAATAACAAAATTATAACAAAAGTATTGCTCATTGCTAGTTAATGTTAATGCATTAACTAACCTTAACTAATGGGATCTTATTGTAAATTGTTACCATATCAGTATAATATTATATTTTTCATATAATTGTAATACTAATAGACCTGCTCGCTTAAATATTAGGTTACTACCGGTGTCCCTTACAAAAATTAACCATGGTTTTACTATAAATAATACCATGGTTAATATAGTTAAACCATGGTAACCACAAATGAACTATGGTTTTACTACAAATAAAAAAAACAAACAAAAAAAAAACATGGTTAATATAGTTAAACCATGCACTCTTAAAAATAAAGGTGCTTCACGATGCCATAGAAGAACCTTTTTGTCTAAAAGGTTCCATAAAGAACCTTTAACATCTGAAGAACCTTTCTGTTTCACAAAAGGTTCTTTGTGGCGAAAGAAGGTTCTTCAGATTACAAAAAGGTAAGAAAGAGATGGTTCTTTAAAGAACCTTTGACTGAATGGTTCTTTGTGGAACCAAAAATGGTTCTTCTATGGCATCGCTTGAAGAACCTTTTGAAGCACCTTTATTTTTAAGAGTGTAGTAACCACAAATTAACCATGGTTTTGCTACACTAACCAACCTTGGCATTTGTAGTAAAACTGTGGTTATACTACAAATGGTAATCCTACACTTTTACTATAAAAAAAAATCATGGTCAATTTTCGTAAGGGTTTGACTTTACAACTCAACAACTTGTCGTTTCCCTTTAAGTCGTAAGTTTTGATTCTACCTCCATGATGTACCGTTACATAATAAAACGAATAAAAGAGTTACCTCTTATCCCAGATGATCGTGGAAACTCTACTCAATAACTGTTCATGTCATCAGTCTCCGTTTCTATTTGTCAAATCAGTCCAAACTCTCTTTTTCATCCCCGCGAACTTGGTAATAAACGTTAAATTGCACCTGAGGTGAAGGAAGTGATGAGTGATTATGCAAGCGGTGTGAGTGAGATGCTGCCTGCCACTGACTTTGAATACAGTAGACAGTGAGGAAATAGCAGTTTGATATACCAAGACATTTTTTGAGTACCATTTACAGATGAAAGACATCAGATGTGATGAAAATTTGTTTTCACATTTCCTTGGGTGACGTCATTTGTGACTATTATTTAAATCTTTAGGGTTGGATAAACATATACTCGACTCCCTTACTGTAAATACTGCTACGAGTGGCAGTTTATTTGTTTGTCATGAAAAAGTGATTTCCTCCAGAGGGCGCTGCAGGGCTAAAAATTGGAAATATATTTTACGCAAAACTAAAATTCTGTCATCATTTACTCCTGAGGAGCGATAAATTGGATGGCATCCCTATTATGTTCTTTAACCACACAACAACTCCAAATCACAACATTGTCTAGATTATAAGATTATAAATCACAGCTTCCCTCTTCACTGTTAATCTTCATGAATATGGACCATTTTAAAGTGGGGAAAAATTGCTCACGTCTAAGTCATGTTGTGATTAGTAATCAATTGTTAATTCATTATAATGTGTCATGGTTATTTAATGGTTCTTAAAGTTAATCTCATTCAGTAATTGTTGATTACTTGATATTATCTCAGTCCTAAATTCGCTACTTCGTTAAATCTTGTTTCCGTATTAGTAGATGAAGTTTTACTACTCAATTGCTGCTCATTTGTCCCGCATTAGTTTCTGCAGTTACCTTGTTGACGGTATTTATATCTTAAAATAATGAAAGGACCTCGATTCAATAATTTAGACTTGTTTGGTTTTATATAATATGCTATGATCATGTCCTTTTATGTTATTATTTGTGTTATATAATGTATATGTCTATGCACATGCTTTTATAATTTGCCCACAATCTGTATTATATACTGAATTGCTTGTATGCTGTTGAATCCAATCCACCAAAAAGACTTTTAAACTGTTGCAAATCCGTCCTAGTTGTGTTGCTGTGGTGACGCTTTACGGCATTTGGATCATGGCGGAGTCGCTGAGCGGTGTACAGTTGAGCACGGTAAATATTTGGCTTTTAACCACTTAAGACATAAATTCAGTCGCGTGTCACGCGTTTTGCAATATATTATGATTTCAGCAGGGAAATATATATGCTGAGTATGCGTGGTAAACCTATAGATTCTGTGTTATCTACGATTTAATGATGAACATATTGATTGGTCAGATACTGCATTTTGTTTACATGATTGTTGCTTATGATCCAGCACGCAGACACGAGCAGATTTAACACCCGCTTTAACTGCTCTTTATTCCACATCGCGCATTTTTAAAGCATTTAGTACGTTGCGTTTTCTTCTTGTTTTATTCGCAACATGAGCTGTTATTATTTTGTGTTAGCCTGAATAGTTTCTTGTAAGTTAATGCAGGCAAAACGAGCAGTTGTGTATGTGAATTTTCGAGGTGATGCTTTTGTAAGTTGGGTTTGTTTACGAAACTATAAAATCTTTCATTTTCATTTTTATGTAGATTGGGTTGAATACGACTACATTTCACCAGGTGTTCGGCTTTGTGTATTTATTTTCGCCTTTTCATGCAGCCTCTTCTATAATAAGAATATATATATATTTTTTAAATGTATTTATATTTGCTACTACAGAATGTAGACTTGCGCAATATAACCAAATGTAGTGTTTTACCATTAGGCCTAAGTGTTAATGCTTCTTCAAAATGTTTTTTTTCATAAATAACATCTTAGAAGTTAAAAAAAAAAAAAAGTTTGAATTTGAAAGATGAGTAAGAATTGAAACGCTGGTATAAGTGTTAAATTTGCATAGACATAGCAGATATTGAAAATGTATTCCTCATGATTTTTCAACCTTAAAATAGATCAGGATGTAGATTTCCACATTTCTCTGAAGTGGGAGCTGATAGTGATGTTGAAATGTATCTCCTCCTGTTGATATTCTGAGACAGAACATAAATCTGCTTTCATAATGTATCATAATGCAGTTCTGCCATAGTTGCCTGTTTAATATTGCATTGCTTAACGCAGCCTTATTCGTTAGTCAGTTGACATCGGAAATAACCAGCACTTTGAAAATAAGTGTCAGGACTGACCCTTGGTCCTTCTTTGACAGATCTTGCTGCAGACAATGAGGTTAATTCATATAGACAGGAGTATAATTTATTTCAAACATTCAGTTTTATTGGCATAAATAGGTATGCACCACGGTTTCGATTTTGATGGCTAGGGGTCAAATGCCGTTTATGAGAGGTTTATCTGTGCATTAAGAAGCTCTGAAACGTCTTGGTTTGATTGATGCAAATCAGTGCAATGCACTTAGTGTACATTATTTTTTTTGCATTGATAAACTTAAGGCCCGGTTTCATAGACAGGGCTTAGCCTAAGCCAGGATTAGGCCATAGTTCAATTAGGACATGTAAGTAATTTTTATAAACATTCCTTAGAAAAAAGCATTACTGGTGTGCATCTTAAGACAACACAAAGGCACTGACATGTTTTAAGATCAGTCAGTGCACGTTTCTTTCATTTGAAACAGCTCAGATTTACATTTTAGTTTAGGACTAGGCTTAAGCCTTGTCTGTGAAACCGGGGGTAATGTAATAGCTAACTGGAATATCTTTTAGACCTTGTATACTGAATACTGACAGACATAGCATGCTGTTCACCATCTTTGCCATGTGATTTGGTGTTTGCATATGAATATATTTAACCACCAAAATGTACATGCATAATAGCTACCTACTTATTTATTCATTTATTTAAAAAAAATTAATGTATAAAAATACTACAACTATAGTCCTAAAATGTTATATTAATATTCATTTATAAATATACAATTATAATGAAATATGTATTTAAATATAATATTATAATAAAGAAATTCTTCAGACTGTATTCAGAATTTTTTATTTTCTCTTTTATTTTCAATAAACATAAAAGGATATATTTTTAGTTTACTAGTTGCTCTTTTCCATGCAGTTACAATGAACTGAAGCTTTCTTACATCTTACTCTTAAATGGTCTTTTTGAACTGAGGATGAAGAGTTTGACTAAAATAAAAATTTTGAGCACCTTTATTTCAAAATTTGTGCAAAATTTGTGCTTTTATGTGACCCTGGACCACAAAACCAGTCATCAGGGTCAATTTTTTTTTTCAAAATTGAGATTTATACATCTGATTCCATCATTCCATTGATGTATGGTTTGTTAGGATCTGACAATATTTGACCGAGATGCAACTATTTGAAAATCTGGAATCTGAGGGTGCAATAAAAAATCTAAATATTGAGAAAATTGCCTCTAAAGTTGTCCAGTTGAAGTTATTAGCAATGCATATTACTAATCAAAAATTAAGTTTTGATATATTTACGGTAGGAACCCTTTAATGTAGAATGCACGATATTGGATTTTTGCTGATATCCAATATGCCGATATTTTTCAACTCTTTTTGGCTGATAGCCGATGCCGATATATTTCCTTTTGCTTGGAAACAACACCAAGTCTCTCCTGTGTGGAAATTATAAGCAAATTATTTTGAATTTTGGTTAGTTTTTAACAAGAACTTATTTGTTAGAATTAAATAAACAATAATGAAGTTATTTTATAATGACAGTACATTGAAGCTTTGAAAATAACTATAAATAAACTATATATCAATTGCTGCTTTTTTTTTCAGAAAAATGCAGTAGTAACCTTAACATTATGTTTTAAGATTTAACATATGTAGATGATCTAAAGCAAAAGAGTTATTTAGAGCTAAAAAATATTTTGGAGCTCATAATTTGTTTAAAATAATAAAACATATTACACATTAATGAATAAATGAGTATAGGCTATATAAAATTATTTAATTTACAAGTGTCATGTTTGTGATTTTTTTTATTCATGTAAGTTATAGCTTCTGACCTTTAAATCAAAACATACTCATGATTTTATGACATCAATTACTGCTTTATTTAATCAGAAACAGTCTAAATTTTATTTGTGTATTTTACTTTCATTTTATTAAAAGCAGGCCAATAGCGCCCCCTACGGAATTAAAACTCCTTACCGAACGGGCATTAGGACCCGGGGGAGGCTGCCGCTGCACGTGCTATTACTGTTTACTCTATCATACACCGAACGCATTCTGTATGTGCATTCTCAGTTTAAATGCAGCGATCCAAAGCAGTGAACCTAATCATCATTCAGGCAAAACTTTGCTTCAAAAATGAATCACACTGTTGACATGATCTAATCACTAGCACACCCTGAGCACATGTGAGTTAACGTATTCCTCTTATCGGCAAGACATACAGAGGGGCTGCCATACTCAGCTATTTAGGGGAGCAAGTCCCTCTAATTTACTGTCTGGAGACAGAGCCACAACAAGGGGAGGAGGAGCAAAAGGTTGAGCAACGTCTCCTGTATCCTCTGGAGTGCTTCCTTTTTGGAGAGGACCCTTGTGTCGGCCTGGAGAAGCTACAGCAATACAACAGCAGCTCATCAGCTCAGCAATGTGGACGTGTCTTTAAAGAGGGCGAGACCGTCTACTCCTGCAGGTTAGACCAGAGCCCCTTTGATAATATATGCAGTCATGACTCATCAACTCCTTTAGGAGAACATCAGCAAGACTGATTGATGAGGCAGCATCTCAGTGCAGATTGTTCATTGGACAGCCTTGTCAGTGGATAATGCACATTTCATTTATTCAAGTAATTTGAATGTATTAGTCAAATTGAGGTAATACTGTGTAAATAAATGTTCATATTTCAGCAATTTTCTGTAAGTCTTTGCTAGCATATTATGTACTGTATTTACTATCAGTGAAAAATTTGGACACTTGAATGAATGGAGGTTTCTCGTGAACACGATTAAAAGGTTTAGAAGATGTTTTTTTTTATTAGTTGATTAATTTATTTCTTCGTTCATTCATTCATTCATTCGTTCATTCGTTTAATCTTTTTAACCCCAAATATTTTAAACGCTAATGCCACCAACATTACGTAATAGCATTAAAGGAATAATTGATAAAGTTATTCCATATTATATAGTAAAACAAACAACTAATATAGAAATTAATGAAAAAATATTATTACATTTTAACGTTTTACCATTTAGGGTTTAAAATTGTCTATCTATCTATCTATCTATCTATCTATCTAGCTATCTTAAATCTTTATTTCTCTCTCTCTCTCTCTCTCTCTCTCTCTCTATATATATATATATAAATATCTTTATTGTTTTTATAACTTATCTGTTATTATAAATGGCAGAAAATAGAAATAATAAAGAGTGTGTAAGTGTGT